TTCTGGGTTGGAGTCCCCGGGGGAACCAGGACCAGAGGGTTCTGGGTCGGAGTCCCGGGGGAACCAGGACCAGAGGGTTCTGGGTTGGAGTCCCAGGGGAACCAGGACCAGAGGGTTCTTGGTTCAAGACCCCGGGGGAACCAGGACCAGAGGGTTCTGGGTTGGAGTCCCAGGGGAACCAGGACCAGAGGGTTCTGGGTTGGAGTCCCGGGGGAACCAGGACCTTTCTGGGTGGTTCTGCATGTTCTCCTGTGTCTGAGGGTTCTCTCCGGGTTCTCCGGCTTCCTCCCACCGTCCAAAAACCTGCATGTTAAGTTAATTGGACATTCCAAATTGCGAGTGAGTTAGTGTGAGTGTGTGTGGTTGTTGGTCCTTGTGTGTCTCTGTGTGGCCCTCCAATGGACTGGGGACCGTCCAGGGTGACCCCGCCTCTCCCCATTGGTTAAGCACAAGCCCCCCCGTGTCCCCATTAGGGAATAAGCGGTTCAGAAAAGGGATGGATGGATGGATGAATTTAGTCCTTCCATTTCAGATAGATGAGTTTTCCCCCTCAACTTTGCAAATACTTTTGAAAGTCTCTCTATGTAATAAAACTAAATAATAATGAATAATTAGTGGCCCTTTCTGTCTCTTGGTTCATCTGAATTTGAAATGAGAGACATCTAAAAAAAAAAAATCATTCTTAAGTGAAAAATTCCTCTTTTGAACTACTTTCCTTGAACCCAGTGGAAAATGATTAACTTGCAATTCTCTTTTAAACCTGGATTGGCATAGTTTTTACCTTTTGAGTTGTTAGTGTCGCATCACTCTTTCTATTGAAGTGATTCAAGTGATTCTCAACCTGATTTCTCAAAAGATATGAACAGAAAGGCAAAGCCGAGCATTTATGATAAAAGCCAAATATTTGACATCTCCAAAGCCTTCATTCAGTATTTAGAATTTCTCGAGAGACCTATAAAGACTTTGATGAAATGTTTTTTTAAAAAAACATTCCCCTCCCCCTGGAAAATCTCAAATCAATTTTTGAAGTTTTTGAATTTCCTAAGTTAAGCATTTGGTCTTATTCGGTTAGATACATAAGATACAAACCATACATGTATCTCATCCCACACCGGGTTAGATATTTATTTAATTAGATATTAACATGCTTGTAATTCTACTGTTAACAATATCCGTTAAAAAGGAACCTTAAAACAATCAAACCAACAGTGGAGTGGAAACTGTTCCTCTCTACTGCCACACACTGTATCTTTGAGAGATTTCTGGCTGTTATCTCCCCCTGAATTCTGAACACTGACAAACAATATCTGAACACATAATCGCATCATAGTGAGGAGAAGTGGGCTTTGCAGGCTTCTCTTCTAAGCCCAATCACAGCTGGCCTTTGTTTGAACCTAAAGCACAAAAAAGGGGGGGGGGTTTGGTAGGTGAAATGCTGGTGTGGACAGGCAGATGTTACAGAACCCCAGTCTAAGTCTCTGAGGGGTGATCTGACATGGTGACATGGACCGAGTTCAACAGAGATAACAGTGATGCTGTGTTGATGCTGTCACCATAATAACGTTTTCCAACTCGATACCGATAAATATTCAATACCTTTTTCGATACCACAAGGATAAAAACAAAGACCCCAAAATGCAACTGAGTTTTGACAGGTTAGTGTCTTTGGTTTCAAACTGACCTGTCACTGATGTTATGGTGGCCCACATTAATGACCCTGACCCTAAACCTAAACCTAACCCTAACCCTGACCCTGCAAGTCGGCCATTTTGATTAGGTCATGTGACTAGCAGCTTTCTGAGGTGGAAAAAAAAAAACTTTACTGTCTATACGAAATCGGAAAATAAACGATGTCCTAAACCTAAACCTGACCCTAACCACAACTTATCTAGAATGGGCAGTCGCGTCTTGCTAAGATTTAACATGAAACTCAACATTTCTGAGCCCTCTGAAAAAAGAAAGGTTGTTTTCATTTAACCAGTCGCTTGAATAGAAACTCTTCTTCCAGTAATCAGGGAGAAGAAAGAAGAAAGCATTCTCACCCTGTCTGTTTTTCCTGGCAATGTGTCAGACAGATGTGATCAGAAAGCTCATTTGTGAGAGTGAATCATCACACAACATTGGATTTTAATGGTAATATATAAGATGTGTGATGGTAGCAATGCTCAGACTTCCTGTTAAAATAAAAATAAGTTTCAATGTGTCCACCAGGCCTCTTTTGGACTGTGCCATGTGCATAATACTCTTCTATTTATACACCTTTTTTGACACTGATCTCTTCCTCGACCAACTGGCTTGGACTGAGACCTGATTGGCTCAGTCATTGACAATATAAGGGTGGAAACAAACATTTTAAACAATGAGTAAACTTACAACCTGAGCACCAGGCCAGAACTTACGGCTAAACAAAAAACACTTTGTAGACACAGACACGGCACCCACTGAAATCCTAACTCCGAAAAGCCGTTAGACTGTACGTTTTGTAGAAGGTAGAAACAAAATACATTGAGCTGACACAGCAGATTATGAAGGAAAAAAACAGTCAAACGTCAACAAAATTAAGTAGAGATTCATCCTTCTGCACCCTACCTCTGAGTTAAAGAGAAGTGAGATCTCTATGGGTGAAACAAAGAAGTGTCAGCAGTAGAGGATCAGTTTACAGAGACAGAAAAGAAAAAAAAAGGGAGGATGGAGGGAAAATTAGAAAGATTTCAGCTATACTATCTCTGCTTCTCAGAATGAAATACACAGAGTTTCTGTCTATGCTTGGACTTAAATCTGTTGTGTGTTCACTAAATGGTTTGATACTGATGTAATGTGACCAACCCTCATTCTTTACTCTCCAAAGGAAGGACATATGTGCAGCCGTCAACATGCCTTGTGAGACCCTGGGGCTGTCCCACGTGGCGGGAATGTGCCAGCCCCACCGCAGCTGCAGCATCAGTGAGGACACCGGCCTCCCCATGGCTTTCACCGTGGCACACGAGCTGGGACACAAGTAAGATTCACCGCATCTAAACACGCAAAAGGACCTCCACCTTTTAAGTGACTGTCATCCAAGATGACAGCACTTTCTGTAATTCATGTGGCTATTTTAAATTAGCTTCTACACAAAACATCCACGTAGAATATTCTTTTCTATTTTCAATAGCAAGCTTTATTTTCACTCAGACAGACACCGGAAAAGCCTGATTGTACATTTGATGGCCTTGTTAAGAAAATTCACTTAATGCAGCTGTGTGCTGAAGGCATTTCGATTTGGCTCCTTCCATATCTGTGATGATGATTATGATTGCACATTTTCAGTTCCTCTTGAACTCGCCATGACATCAGACCTCATTATTTTATATTTTGCCGTTGTCGTCGTCGGCGATGGTCTGCGGCTTTGAATAGAGTCGGATTCTCTTGAGTCTGATGCTGCCTTCAGCCTGTCTTTTCTGTACAACCGTTAAAATGCTTTTTCTCAATCATGTCACTAAATAGAAAAATGGGCATTTAACATTTAAAAGAGGAGAATCAAGCACAAAGAAAGACAAGGAAACACTACAGTTTAAAACAAAACTCATGTACAGAAAGTAATTAAATTAAAGAAGAGAGATTAAAACAGCAACATACTACTGGATAGATTAGGCCTTATCTGAATTTATAGCATTTCTTTTAGTTGATTTGGTTGCTTAATGCAACAACAATAAATTAATATGTATTTCATACAACAACTTGTCATCTAAAATTAATTGTATTTACTTTACTTTGGGACTGAGAGGGATGTAGAATTTAGAGAAGACTCATTGGTTAAATAAAAATAAATAACAATGTAACATCTCCTGCATAAAGTTTACTAAGGAAATGCATAACGGATAAGGACATGCGGCCTACAGCTGAATGTTTTCTCCCCGATTGTTGAACAGATGTCTACATAAGCCTGAAGTACCTCTGAAGTAGACATTTGAAGTTACTTTCAAGGTTTCATCCTTCTGTCTAAAGGAACATGCCCTCCAGCGTATTTGTGTGATTAGATTTGGGACTACATGAAGGGTGTTTGTTGAATGCATGTTTATGAGAACCTGGCTTTTATTTACAGATGAAGACAATGTGTTATTCATTTCTGAAGTCTACTGACTGACCGTGGAGCTCGAGTTCTTTAAAAGAAATAAATAATGTACAGATTTGATTGTAATCTTTCATCTTCAAAGTTAGGCCCCAACTTTATCACTTTTTTCATAATGTCTGAATGGTCTAAATAGATGGATCTTCATTTGCATTCTGCTAAAATGCCATGCATTCTTCCCTATGTTTCCAGTGGCCTTTCAGTGAGCTGTCTCTATATGTTTCCTTGAGGAAGTGAATGAGAAGAATTTGAGGTTGCCAATCTAAGTTTTTTTTCATTTTTTTCTCTCTTTGCACTCATGTCAAACTATTTGATAAACTGAGAAAAGGGAAGATGTGTGGATCCAGAGATTCGGCTCTGTTCTGCCCTTTGTTGCTCGGAAATGAGGCCTTATTGCTTTGAATTTAATCTCAGAAATAATATTATATATAATGTTATTATATAATGATCATATGATAACAAAATAGTATTTATTTTGTCAAGTTTATTGTCTCACAATGAAAAAGCAGAAGAGTAAGGGTTGAGTTAAAGAGGCTCATTCCCAATTCAAACTCTGTCCATTCTACGGTTTTAGGATGAAGAACATCACAGCTTAAAAAAAACAAAAACAATGATTTCAAGTTGAGAGAAATATTGGAACTAGTTGAGCTGGAACAGAGAACCCTCATGAAAATGTGTTAAAGTTCTCAAAAAAATGGCAATTAATGCGAGTAAAACAAGAAAAAATGCATGAATCGCCGTGCGATCAAGAGCCTGATCATTAAGTTACCACGCACGTTTCCAGGTAATAAAGTTGGGTGTATGCAAAGCTCTAAATCCCTTTAAAAGTGCGGTCAATAAACAGGTTTGCTGTGCCGACAGAAGTATTGGACTTTACTTGAAAGACCTCGACCATCACACCCGCCCTCAGCAACATTGGCAAATAAGAAATTTCAACAAATGGATAAAGAATAGCTGTTTGTATTCAACTTCCCCTTTGCACAGACTTTCTGTTGTTGTGATTGTGTGACTTCTCGCCGGCTGTAAAATGGATTATCTTAGCTTTTTGTCCCCGCAGAGTAGCAAACGCTTCACACATTTATGTCTCGTTGCATTCTGTAGCTCCACATTGATGTGCATATGTTACAAATGATTTCCTCTCATATGAACTGACCCCCTTCTGTGAAATGTGCTTTTTATGTCGCAGCTTTGGGATACAGCATGATGGCAACGGTAATGACTGTGAACCCATTGGGAAACGCCCTTTCGTCATGTCTCCACAGCTCCTGTACGGCACCTCGCTCCCCCGGTGGTCGCGCTGCAGCCGTCAGTACATCACCCGCTTCCTCGAGTGAGTGCCACGCGATTTCTGTCTCCTTTTATCAAGGCTTTCTGCTCTAAAGGCTCTGTGTGCATCCATATACCTTGCTACCTTGGCCAGGTCTCTCTTGAAAAAGAGATTCCGAATCTCAATGAGACTTCCTGGTTAAATAAAGGTTAAAAAATATATATATATGTATATATATATATACAGGACTGTCTCAGAAAATTAGAATATTGTGATAAAGTTCTTTATTTTCTGTAATGCAATTAAAAATCATGAAATGTCATACATTCTGGATTCATTACAAATCAACTGAAATATCGCAAGCCTTTAATTGTTTTATTATAGCTGATTATGGCGTACAGCTGAAGAAAACTCAAAAATCCGATATTCTAATATTTTGAGATAGGATATTTGGGTTTCTTAAGATGTAAGCCATAATCAGCCATATCAAAACAATAAAAGGCTTGCGATATTTCAGTTGATTTGTAATCAATCCGGAATGTATGACATTTCATGTTTTTCAATTGCATTACAGAAAATAAAGAACTTTATCACAATATTCTAATTTTCTGACACAGTCCTGTATTTATAAATGATCTCAGAACATAAACACTGTTTCTCTTAAACAAAATCGCATTTGAAATGATAATAAAAGAGTCATTTAAAAAGATTAAATGAGGATGAAATGCTATGGGAGTTTTCATTTCCCTAAGACGCAGCCTGTTCTGTGCATTCACACAGAGTTGGCCTGAAGAATTACCTGCCACAGTTTATAAGTTTCTCTTGTTCCCGGTGACACATGGGCCGCCGCTTCTTTTGCCTCAGTACCGATCTGTTATTTGGGATTTCGGGGGAAATAGGTTGTAAATCATTTGTGCCCCGTCGCCGCCGAATTTCCACAGAGCCCAAGTCAGTCACTATGAAATAAAGCAAACGGTTAGCACATGCCACCCCACAGTCCCTCTGGTGGAGGGTTGAAACATTATTGATAGCAGGGCCTATTCAGCTAGAGTGAATTCATAGTAAATAAGCAGAGTAACAGTTTTTACCCTGCTGCAGCCTTCCCATTTACAATAAGAAGAATAAGGAGACTCAAAGGCTTCTTTTACCACAAGGTTCATCTGAATTAATGAGAAAAAACCTTTTTGTTTTGACTCTTTCTGTACAAAGTCACACATTGTGACAGCATGTCACGATTGAACAAATTTGAGCCTCTTGTGAAGAGCAAAAATATAAAGAGACTTTATTATCTGCATTGATTTCTGCTTCTGAATGCCATTATTTGTGTAATATTTATAGTGTTAGACCTGTCAAAATGGATTTAATTGCCAGTCTTGTTCATAACTTACTGGAACATTTGAAATAAAGACGCTAGAGTTAATATTTTATCATTTATAAGGACAAGTCACCTTACTCGCAATAATACAATGAGGAGCAAATAGCCTATTAATGTTCTATTCCTTATTTATTTTTTCATTAGAAAGATGATTGAAATTTAAATTTTACCACAAAGAAGCAGAGCTTGCAATCATAAACTTCACAAACACTGTTTATATTGTGTCATCTTAATGTTCTCCTGTGTATTTTTATCAGTTGTCATCCTTATATTCAGTAATGTTAAGAGGCTTGTTTATCAACCTTAGTTGATGATATGATGAAGCTTATTTACTCCTCACAGTGTTCCATTAACAAACCATGTTTGCTAAATCCTGGGTTTACATGATATGTCACAGCATCATCAAAAACTTAATAAACATATTCCACAGTGCTCGTCTATTTTTACGAACGGTACCACACTGGTCTGTGAACTCTGCTTTTAGCTGCTGCTATTCAGGACTTGGTTCGGTTTCACCAGCACGAGTGTTAAATATCTGAAATGTTTCACCGTAGTTGCCCCAGTTCTTCAGCCCCGAGCATCTGGAAGTCATTCGGTGGGCGCTCAGCAACATGACAGCACGGAGGGGTTTTTTTTTTACAAGATGATATTTACACTCTTGAGAGTTTGAGACGTAAAACCCAGTAGTCTGTGCTTTTGTGTGTGTCTCAAAGGTGCTGAAACAGTCGGCTTCTCTGCGCTAAAAGACAATTCACTCTTTGATTTAAACATGGTTAGAATAAAAAACTCAGCAGTGGAGTGATATTACTAAGTATTACTAATATATTCATTATTTTCGGGTAGAGATTTTTTTTTGTTCTCATTTTTTGCCTTGATCTTAACATCCAATCTGAAGTTTACTTTTTAACATCCAGATTTCCCATTTACCTATGAATGCAGCATCACTGTAGCTGCTTCACTCCCGTTACGAGGGCAAACATTGGTAAAATGTTGCTTATATTAGCCAGAACTTGATTTTTACAATAACTGACCAGCTGGTATGTTATGTGGCACCTCGGATAAATAGTGGATCCAGCTCAACGGATGGATGTTGATGAGAATATATCTAAAAATGTCTAAAAAGGTAATTTGTAGCCTAACAGCTGTCAGTGCCCAGACAGCACATGAGGAAAAGATGAGTATTTGAGAGTAAAATAGCCATTTCTAATGTGTTTTTGTATCATCCTGGTGTGTGGTCTGAGGTCTTAGACTATGTGTCAGCTGCTCTGCACAGTCAGGTACAGAGATGAAATCATCTCAATGAGGAAGAAAGGGGTGGAGTAGAATAGGTTATGGTCTATTGTCCTGAAATGATCCGCTTAATAAAATGATGCAAATGAAAGGAAAGAATTTATTTTGTGTGTTCGATAAATTCCCACTTTCCTTAGCAAGGTGTCATAAATTCTCTTTAACACTGGTTAAAATTAGTGTATGAAGACGTGAAAAGTGTTTGAAACTAATGTTAGTGAATAAGCAGAAAAATGACGCTACGCATCATGCTTTGGATGCTTTTTTATCCTCTTCAAGCTGTTTCTGTTTATATTTAGCTTTGGTTGAATAAAAAAAAGTAAGGTCAAATGATGAAGAGAAGAAAAAAATTAATATGAAATCTGATGCCTTGCAGAATGTGCACTTTGGTTGCTTTATAAAATATTTTAAGATTAATTTACTGATATTTAAGACATAGTGGGATTTTTTTCCTACCACCGGCTTTGATGATAAGGGAATCGACTGAGATTTGATTTTAGAGGCTAATCTCACAGTTTAGGATAGAAACATTATCCTAAAGTTAGAATTCAGGGTCTGCACTATATAAATTTAGCCTAAGAGCAGGCGAGAATATAATATGGTATACAAACCTGTCAACTTTTTATTCTCAAGTGGAACATTCTATTTCCTCCGGGGGTGTATATTTCAGTTGTAAACACAAGTCAAAATCTATTCAACCACCAACCCCCAGGGCACATGTACAGGCACAAGTTGTAACTTTTCTCTCAACACTTCTCTCCTTTTGTGTCAACACATTCTTTGGTGTGGCAGTGCTATGATTACTGTTGCACTGCTATTTTTGCTGCCATGAAATGGTTTTATACAAAAGAACCGTACTGGCTGCTTTCTTTTTTATCAGAACACTGCACACTAGGGGTTGCTAGCTTTACTAGGAAGTAGCTTTACTTGGTTTGTTTTCCTTTCTGGATATCAGAATACGTGTAAAAATCAAGCTTCACAGCTGCTTTCTTGCTCGTTTTTGTCTTATTTTCTTTCAATTTCATTTTACTTTCATTTACTACTTTGAAAATGAAGAGTTTGCACTCATTAAACTCTTTTCCTCGAAGAGCTATGCTCCTGATAGTGCCCCACGTTCCCACTCTCTTCTTCTAAATGCCAGCACTCGTCCCAATTTTCCTTGACTTAATTCTGCCACTTACCACGAGACAAGGCCTCCATTGTGCGTGGCTTTTGTCGTTCCCATAGGCCCCCACGGCTCGTACTGCCTCTGTAGGTGTTACTTTATGTGGAATGCAGAAGGTCACACTCTGAGAGCTGATGTTATCACATGTGGACGGAACAGAGCCATCATTTAATGCTTAAATCGGCTTCAATCACTGTGAAATATATTTCACATAAAGTAATCCGTATTGTATCATATATTTCTGATAAACTGTAGACGGTTTCAAAGTTGATTAATTGTCCGGAAACAGAAGCGGCATCATGATCAAATTTGCCCTCTTTGCCTCCCTTAAGCCCGCATGCACTCGTGCAGAACATTTTAATTGCTGTCATCCAAAAGAATAGCGTCACCATGATGTCGTGTCATATCATTGATTTTGTTTGAGTGATGTGTGTTCTTTAAAAGCATCTTCATGGGGAAACCAGGGAATGGGTTTTTTCTTATATTCAGAAGGACTTTAAGCAGACGTTTAGCTTTTCTTTTTTTTTTTTGCTTTTTAAAAAAATAAAATATTTCCAAAGCAAATGTTGTGTAGCCAAACTCTTGACTTATTATTGAACTGTTATATTACTGAATACAACAGTTCTGAGTATTACTGGAAATACTCAGTCACTTCCTATTTACTTCCTATGAAATCCACAGGATTTTTTTGTTAGTTAATTGGCATTCTCATTATAAATTGATCAGTTGGAGGCAATTATTTGCATTCAATAAGTATAAAAACTATAACCGCACAGAGCTCTGTGAGTATACTTTCAGGGTCTATTATAGAATATCATGAACTTATTTTTTATTCAAATCCCAAAGCTCATATTTATGTAATCACCACAGGCACATCATAATCCTATCAAAGCTGTCATTTTGTGTGGATAATTTGGTAGAGCCAGCCCAAAGGAATCAATTACTCATCTACACATATTTGATTAACATAAAAAAATTATAAAAAGTTTGGTCATTAAAAATCTGCTTTGACTGCATGTTTTGCTGATTTTCCGTAAATATTTGAATCACCTTTTAATCTCATATGATGATCTTTTTAAAAGTGATTTTAATAGAGCAATGTGAAAATAAAGCAGGTCTCCTTCACATTTTCATTTATAAGGATGCAGAATAGGAATGTTTGGAGCTTACAAGGCTGTGAAATAAGGCTAAAAACCTCAGATGAGAATCAAGGCTTAATATAATTTTTTATTTCACAAAAACAGAACCAATACGCAGAGGCAGTGTGTTACAATCCTACTCCCTTGCTGATTCCACAGCAATTTAGATGGTTATTATCAGTCAGGTGCTGGTGAGTTTTATAATTAATGGATCATCAGTGGGTGTGAGATCACAATGCCAAACAGAAAAAAAACATCAACTATCATCTGTGACGAGCTCGTTTTGCTGCTCATCAGTGTGAAAAAGGTTAGAAGGCTATTTCTAAATGAGAGCTTTGGAGTCTAGAATTCTGCAGAGAGAAAGATCATTGAAATATTAAAGAGGGGATATCAAAATGGACACACAGGCAGGCTCACCCCGAAGGTCAGTCATACGAGACCATGCTGCGCTCGCAGAAACTAACATGAAAGTGCTTTATTTCAGAATCTACACGGCTCAGTTTGCATGTTGAATATTAAAACTGGTAACCGTACAAGTAGAAAGACCATTGCAGACTTGCAGGCTTGGCTTTTGCATTTGAACAAACTACTAGACTTCTGAAACAATGTCTCTCAGACTAACAAAAGCAAAGTTAAGATGTTTAGTTATAATACACAGCTACATATTTTGGATATAAAAAACAAGCATGTTAACACAAATATGTCCAAACAACTGCCCAATGTGGAGGTCTCAATGGGCCAATGCCCAGCAGGATTCAGATGCCTCCCTCCTTCAACACACCTGATTTAAATCAATGCAACATCAGCACTTCTGTGCAGAAATGTAAAATATGTTTTGAAGAGATCCATCCAATTCAAACCAGGTGTGTTGAAGCAGAGACACATCTGAAACCTGCAGGACGGCCCCCCTTAATCCTATAAAGCCAAATGTGTCAAATTTGATACGGTTTCTGAAGTCTTTATGGATCTGAGACTTTTTGCATCATTCAGTGGTAAAAGCTTTGCTCAAACCCCTGTTGTACACATTCAGATATACCTGATAACAGCCAGTAGAAGACTACACCAGAAAATATTTTTGACTTATTGCACGCTAATTTGATCAAAATAATTTCTGTTTTTTTTTATTCATATGTTGTTGAGGGGCCAAAGAAAGACTTCAGACTAAAACAATCCAATATTCTTCCCTATTTTTCTTGGATCAGGCTTTAAAGGGTTAAGGACCAGAGTTTGAGATCTGTGGCCTAATATGTTGCTATGTAGCTACTGTTTCTGTTAAGCATGATTCCATGTTAAGTCGAGTAAAGCTACACTTTCAGCCTGACTTGGACTTTTAAACAGACCCATTCTTTTCCCAGAGTCACTGACCAGAGTACGTTTGTACCTTTGAACTTTCTCCGTGCATGTATGACATAATTCACTGCCCTGGTGTGAGCTGAATGATGATTTTTATCAGATGAAAGATCATGTTAGAGCCTACAGCAGATTTTCAATCGAAGTTTCTAACATGTTTATCTGTCTGATAAAAGGGAAAAAAAAGTCTCAAAGTGAGCAGCTTTTGGAGGGTGTTTTTGTTTGACTGTTTTACTGTTTTTGGACATTTAGAGCATCCTCAGGCCTCTCTAGATTTAGTAGAGCTTAAACTTTCGGGAGTGATTCAAACCTCAGAATTATCTGGGTTTGCTTATCTTTTTTAGCAGGTTTTTAGACAAACTGAATGTTATTATGTATTAAAGACGTATTTGAATGTGTTTGAAAGACACAAGAATTTACTATTCTGTATGCTGAACTGTTGTACAGTATATATTAGTATAGTAAGGGTGACATTTTGTAGAATAAATGTGGAAAAAATTCCTATAACTCATATTTACTTTAGCCGTCACATACCAAAACTTAGTTTCAGAGCTAGGTCAGGTGAGTGCACTACCTCTCGTAAATCCTATGACCGATTGTAAGCAGTGGAAAATGTTCCCTACCCAGTGGTTGAGCAGGGGTGTTAAAGGATTAAATTACTTGATTTTTGAGAGTGGTGTTTGCGTGTGTTTTTTTTATGCGTGTGAGTGGTTTCTCTCCCAGTAATCCAGCTTCCTCCCCCTTTCAAAGACGGAGACTCCTGGCCCTCAGCAAACCTGAATTGGATTAAGCGGGTATAGAAAAAGGGACAGATGGACGCTAACTTGATTTAATCTCATAACTAATTTAATGTATGTCACTCTAACCAGTGGTGTTTTCCCTGATAGTAAAACTATTTGCTCGAGCGTCTGTGACCATATTGACGTGAAATGTAAATCATGTCCTGGAGGATTAGTGTGTAGGCGACAGAGATTCATTAATGCTGACAGGACAGCTCTCTACTGGGAGCAGTTTAAAGCAGATCCACACCTTATTGTAGCCGCTGCTATGCCTCTGCTGAGTGAGTGCTGAGTGAGTTCTGCCGATGACAGCATATTTACAGGTGGAGGAGGGTTAACAGCATTGTTGGCCGGGATTTAGTTATTTAGACATTCTCACTGTGCACTTTGCTCACCTGCATTTTCGTTACAAGGAAAAGGGCTTTCTCTCAGTCATTGATTGAAAATGCACATTATAATGGCACACTCTCCTTCTTATTATAATTTCTATACAACTTACAACTATATATGTGCCCCTCTTATGTCTGTTAACCCTTTAAAGCACGATCCAAGAATAAAACAAAACAGAAAATTCCTTTTTTTTTGGTTTGCAGTCTTTATTTGGCCTTTTAACAAAATATGTAAAAAGAAAAAACAGAAATACATTTTTAATATTAATCATTTATTACAATGCGATAGGTCAAGATTATTTTTTGGGTGGTCTTCTTCGCCCTGTTATCAGGTATATCTGATTGTGTACAATAGGATTTTGAGCAAAGTTTTTACCATTAAGTTATGCAAAAGGTGTCAAACGCAAAACATTTCAGAAACCATATGTATCAAATATGATACATTTGGCATTACAGGGTTAAGTGACATAAAAGCATCTTTAGTAAAGGGTTGATAAGCATTGAGAAAAACATTTTTACTTCTAAAGAATGATTATATTTTCATCAGCAAAGGTAACCAACTTGTGTTGCATTAATGAATATTTGTTGTTACTTTTTCTTATCTTTCTGTTCCACTCCTCAGCCTCTATCTGAATACTTTCATAATTTCTGCAATTATTCTTTTTGTAGGACCCAGTTTTGATTAAAAAAAACTATCCTCTGTGGTTTTCATTGAACTGCACCCCTCCAGTTTTTTATAAAGGACTGATTCATACATGGCTTATTTTTGATAGTCCAAAGAGACCGTATAAAGTTGAGATTACAGTTAAAGCCGTTCATCAGCCGTCTGGTTAATGTGTTCAGAGTAGTCTGACAACTCTTGGTGTGTCTCCGTTCGAATATCCACCCTCCCTTAAAGACCTGTCAGTTGCTCAGCCACTGGAAGATGAGTGAATATATTCATTATCATCTCGGTTTCACGACTCCCAGTGGAGTTATTTTATTGCTCCTTACTGAGTGTGTGGGTGGTTTTTCTATGCTAACAGAATGGTCCTCACCAGGGGTGTTCACATTTGTCACTGATGATAGTTGAACCACTTAATTTTAGATAAACATTAAGAGATAAATTGCTAAGTTTTCCATGATAATAGACACTTCTTATTTGCTATAAGCGTTGTTTTCTTCCTCTTCTCTTCTATTGTTACCTCCATTCTGGGAAAGGATGAAACTGCTGAATGGAACGACTCTGACCGACTCTGTGTTAGTTTCATGGTCTTTTTTTATCTTAGTACAAGCCAAATGTATATTTAAGTTTGTCATATTTTAAGTTTTTGTGTCTTTTAAGGTTTTGGGTGATTTTTTGTTATTTCAGGGTTGTGTGTTTCGACTCCCAAAGGGCTGTCTTGTCGCTAAATTTAAAGGAAACTTATTTGCCTGAGTCAAACAAAAGTGAATCTTTTTTCATAACATAAATTGTGCAAGAGAGAAAATATTTGACTCATTCTGAATAATTTAAAATTTTAGTTCTAAAATCATAACAAAATTAAGTTTTAGCTCTGCAATCTGACACTAAAGAATCAGGCTGAAGGATCTCGGATAGGCTAAAAAAAAAAGCAAAATCTAATTTGTTTAATTTAGTTATTGTCTTACTCTGACCAGCTCTAGGCTGAAAAACATCTCATCATTTGTAAAAAAAAAAAATCTCTCACATGAAATGGGCAACTGAAGTGATGGAGAGAGATACAGTTTTTCCAGCTAAGAGGCCTTTCTAGACATTTGAAGTGTTCACCCCCTCCTCTTTATTCTTTACCCCCCACAGTCGCGGCTGGGGCTGGTGCCTGGATGATGCTCCGGTGAAGGACAGGTTGTCTGTGACCCCGGTGCTGCCCGGAGTTCTGTACAGTGCCGTCCACCAGTGCCGGCTGCAGTACGGACCCGGGTCCCTGCTCTGCGATGACATGGACGTAAGGCTCTTAAATCCCCATCATTCTCTTATGAAACCAGCTAATGATGTGCTTGATGGAACAGATAATTCATTTATGGTACTCTTTTTTTTTTAATGCCTGCAAAAGTGAATCACTTGTTTTCCATCTCAAAATCCCCCTCTTTTAAACCTGTGAACGTTTCCTGTTTATACAGTGATTTACAGTAATACACAATTCCCTATTTTATTTCACTGTGTTGCTTGGACTGGTGTTAATTGCCACAATCTGTTTTAGGATCTTTTTGTTTGTTTGTTTAGATTCAAATATACAGTGGGGCAAATAAGTATTTGACCCCTTTCCTGATTTTGCAGTTACACTTACAAAGAATGCTTGTTTTTCCTCATCTAATGGTTATCAATTTTTATAAATTCATATGATGTGATTTTCTGGAATTTTCTTTGGGATTCTGTCTTTCACTGTTAGAATGTACATATGATTAAAGTTATAGATCGTTGCATTCTTTGTAAGTGGGCAAACCTGCAAAATCAGCAAGGGGTCAAATACTTATTTCCCCCACTGTATCTGAGGATTAGAGAACAGATAATAGATTGTATTTGTTGTTCGTGCAGGTTTCTTACTTGAACCCTCTGCTTCTAGATGATTTTTCTGACAGTAACGGCAATAAATGGTGCTTTCAGAAAAAGGAGTTCGATATTTTTGATTAGCGACAAGACGAATAAAACCCACAAGAGGAAAAAAGGTGTAAGGTATTTGAGTTATTCAGCAACCAATTCTTTCAATATCTTCCCAGGTTCCTGCTCCGTCTAGACTTTTTAAGCGTGTACGAAGGGTCAGCTCACTGCTTTATTACATCAGGAGTCCTCGTGTCCCCTCGTGTGTTCTGTGTGGAACATTCATCATGCTCTGGGACTGAGGGAATATTTCATATCCTGGATGAAAATCACTTGAAGATGCTACATTTTCAGTGGTGTTATCACTAAAATCACTGTTTTTAGTGATAATGAAATAATCAATATACAGTAAGTGCCATAATAATACTGGGATTGCACCTCGATTGTTTTATGATTACAACGGTCTGTATGGGTGTATTTCTGCAGGCATCCAATCCAATCCACTTTATTTAAATAGCACGAATTTCAACAAACACAAGGTTTTCTAAAGTGCTGCACAAAAAGATATACAGAATAGAAGTATGGCAACAAAAGATGAGGTACACAGTAAAAAATCAAAGTAAAAATATGCATGTATATACATAAAATCAACGCTCTACATGGTGTCAAAAGCCAAAGAAAAGAGGTGGGTCTTAAGAAGAGTTTTAAAATGAGACAGAGAGGTAAAGCGGGGCAAGGCCATTCAAGGCTTTAAAAGTAAGTAAAAGAATTTTAAAATGAATCCTAACATGGATGGGCAGCCAGTGGAGTGAAGCTAAAACAGGTGAAATGTTCTCATACTTTCGTGTGCCAGGTACCAGAAAGAAATTAGCACTTTTATCTTAAAAGCGCATCCAGTATTTTAAGAAGTATTTGAACAATCCATCCATCCAAAATCCAACTTCTGAAGTCATTGCGGGTGATCACACGGCATTCGCTGGTCAGATGAGTTTGTCATCCTGTAACTCTAGAGGCCTCGCAAGGAGACTTCCTAATGAGACGCCCCAACCTCCTGTGCGGATCGTTTTGATGCAGAAGGCCGGTCGCTTTTCTACAAACTCCATTTGGATGTATATCTGAGCCCAGCTTTCCCCTGAGGCGAAATCGTTTGAAACCTTTGAATGCACAACCTCGCTCCCTCTTTGAAGCTGAGGATCTGGTCAACTGTGCCTCAACCTCCAACAGCCTATAAGGCTTAGAAGATCGTCCAATGATGGTTCCCGATAGGCGTTTTATTAGATATCCATTCAAAACTTCAGAGGTGATTCAGTCATCACAGTCCCACAACACCCAGACCTTACCTCCCAAAGTCCTTAATTCCCAACCCTTCAATGGAGAAGTTGGTGGAGATATTGAAAGTGCTCCTTCAATTGCTTGAGATCTTTGGAGAAGGCCGTTGTTCCCTGCCTAAGCCGGCTAAGAGAACTGCCCTCTCTGGTTTATTGTAATTTAATTATTTATTTATTTAATCAGGACAGTGCTCATTAATGAACAATATCGTACAGATTGTAAATGAGCCAGATTCTAGCGTAGTTGCTAATTTACATCTGTCGTCCTGAGGCAGGAAGACAAAAACAACACAAAATCACATAATATAACATCAGTTAAAACGAGAGACACACGTTCAAAAAATAACCTTACAAGAATAAAATTAGTGAGTGCATGCCTGGGAACTTTTAAAAAACAGTTTAAGGTGCTTTTTAAATGTGCAAAAAGTGGGACCTTCCCTGATGTTTGTTGGGAAGCTGTTCCAGAAGTTTCCCCCTCTGACTGATTTGAACGGTTTGTCCAAAGGTTGTTCTTCTGTGGGGGATTTAAGGTGGTTCTCCTCCCCTAGGCAAGACCCCCTAATTCAATAACCGGCAATGTGCCATGTAAGATTATTTTAACACGATACAATGCTTCCTGAGGGATTCCAGAAACCGCTAAATGAAACAGCTGTCATGTCACGGTGCCCACTTGGCATCTGTCCCAACACAGAGCTGCTGCGTGATTATCAGATAACTCACAAACAGCTTATCTTTCAGTTGATATTCGGCCATTTTTTGTTTTTTAACCTCCTGAGGTTTTCTTTGTTCTGAGCTTAGCTTTTCTGTTTTCTTTTTTATTTCAAAAGCTTTTGTCTGTTTATGATTCTCGAAGTGCTTCTCTCCAAAGAAAGAAAACATTTGAGCCTCGTCTTTAAACTACTTATTTTATTATTTCTATGTAGCTTTGGTGGAAGCACTGGTTTTACAAGCTTGGTATATTTCCACATTTAAGAATGGGAAATCCAGTTTTATCCACATGTGCATGGTTTCAATTTTTATTTCGATTTATAAAAGAGATCCTAAACACAGCTCCACAAATTGCGCAAAAAAATAAATGCTTATATAACTTTTTAGCCATTAATCTACATAGATTTGATTAATTTGGTTTGCGGTGAGAACAAATGGGCAGGAAAAAATCTGCTCCAAGACATAGAGGACAAGAAATAGTCGGTTTAAAAACTTTTTTTTTTTTCCAAGAAACCAGAAAAAATATGAGGAGCATCTCCACTGAACATTAAGCAACATGCACTACGGACCAGACAAATGGATCTTAATTAATGCAGCATCTGCTCCCGGAACATTGAGACTTAAGAGACCGGGCAGAGACTCAAGATTTCAATTACTACAATGATGTTGCAGGCCCTCTTTGAAAGAGAACCCCAGATCCAAACTAGATTAGAGCAGAGGGAGATATAGGAGCACCAAAGATTAGAGGAACCCCATGCTGTCACAAAAAGGCTCAAGAGCACGCAAAGGCTGGAAGCTCTGGCTAAAGATGTGGAGATGAAGAGAATCCCTGAAGGCTTCAGGCAGAAAACTATAATGGAAGCTGTGGAGACTCAGAAGAAAACTGAGCTGCAAAAAAAAATAAGGTCATGTGCCCGGTAACAGGACCCAGTGTTTGATCAGAAGAGGTTGTTCCCTCAACTAAAGGAGCAGAGGGCGAGGAGCTGTCTTCTGAGTAGTAATTAAACCTCTTTCAGTCGGATTTTCTTTTTAAGACTGAAAGAAAAACATCTCGTAACCCCTCATTAAAACTACAGAACACAAGGACACGGTTTGATCTTTTGTTTTAAACGCAATTAATTCCATTATGTTTTTTCTCTCTTCGCTCTTCGTAAGACTTCAGTTTGAAAGTGTGTCTCTTTCTGAGGTTAACTCTGTTGTTATCTCGGCGTTAATCTTTACCATATTGGAATTTTAAAAGCATTGTTCCAGTCTTTTTCATTGTTTTGGGATTTTATAGTAATTTGCTAAATACTTTACAAATTAAAAACGTTTTTTGGGGAATAGGCAAGATGATATCCTCAGTGAAATAGAGTAATATGTCCAGTCATGTTTTCAGACATTATTCCAAACCATTGGCAATACTGTTGGCCATGACTTAAAAGCATTGGAGTCAATATGAAATGGAGTTAGCACGCTACATGCAGATAATCTGGATTTTCATCAGCATGAACAGGCATCCAGATAACTAAAACCAAGGACACTCACCAAAACCTTTTTTCACATTTGTCCCGGAGTCTGGAAAGTATGTTGTGAGTGGTGAATATTACAAATGTTCACAACATTGATGCTGGACTCCCTGCAGATGTTTTCCACCCAGCCCCCCCGGGGAAAAGCACAGAACATCACCATCAAATGCTACAGGAACATGTGAACCAGTATTGTGGAGAAAGTGCCGGCGCACTGCTGAGAGTTTGTCCTTTTGAAGTGTCAGAGTGCTGCTTTCTGCTCACTCCTCAGTTTTTGTGGCTATACAGAGAGACATCGAGTACTTATGGTGGCATAATAAAAAAAGCCTCAATTGCTATTCTAAAGGTGTGCTTTCTATAGAGAGAGCTCTGCATCATGCGCTGCCTTGAGCATTTTTTAGACGATCATTACCCCCCCCACACACACACATATACACACACACCTTCACAGTGGTGAGAGAGTGTATCAGAGAGTGCAGCTAAAATTTAAAGCCTCTTGCTGTCATGTTCTTGTGTGAACATCAACTGTAGAAAAAGTCCATCCTAAATCATCACGACACTCACAAATTAAGTAATGAGTTCAACTCAACTCAGTCCACTCTATGCAACTTGAAGTATCTGGATTTTATACTAAGTAGTAGTAACATGCATCATTCATGGCACGGAGCTGTTAAATCACCTGCCCGGGAGTGTCATTGACTTTTTCACATTCCAAGAATGTCAAAGCCTGATCCAAGGAAAAGTAGAGAGAATTTAGTTTTTTAAGTCTTTATTTGACCCTTCAACAAAATATGAAGAAAAACAAACAGAAACAATGTTTGATTATTCATCATCCAATACTGATAAGTCAAATTATTGTTGTTTTATCTTCTGCCAACTGTTATCAGGTATATCTGATGGTGTGTAACAGGGTTTTGAGCAAGGCTTTTAACCATCAAGGTCTTAGATGCAAAACATTTCAGAAACCTTATGTATAAAATATGATATATATTGCATACTGTTTTTGGAAGCAGGGGGGTGGGGTAAATCACACTCAGTTTTTTTTGGTTTATGAGATTTTAGAAGAGCGTATGAACTGTGACCAACATGTTTTTCCATTACTGGTGTAATGAAACATATGTCTCTGTACAAAAAGGTGCAAAGAGATTTCTAACACCTTTTGCTTCACTTTGGACCATTAAATCAATCTTGAGCACACTTTTTCTAAAAAAAGATATCATCTTTGTGGGTAACAACACAATAAATGGCAACACAACGGGGAAGTTTGGAAGAATATGCCAGATGCACATGGTACTTGTGAAGCACTCACAAACAGAACATTCAGGTTATTTTCTGCTATATTAAAGGCTGTTCGACCACATCATTTTAGTCGAGAACGCCCACGAAAACACAGAGTGTTTTCAGAAGAACTGATAAAAGCTCGCCCCGGTGTTCTTCAGAAAATAAGAAATCAATGTTTTTGCGTCGTGAGTCTTGATTGCGTTGCAGCAGGACAGAAAGTTACAACAAGCAAATGCAGCCCTGCGGGGATGAGACACTCGTCTGAACTTGATGAGTTAAGTGGATTCATTTTGCTCAGAAATTTTCCAACCTTGTTTGGTTCAAGTTCTCTTTTTACATCTAGTTTTTATAGTCTGTAGCATTGTGTGTGTGATGACATCATCATCAGTACAATTGCCATTTAGATTTCAATTTAAGTGTTCATTGGATTCATTCCTTTTTTGTGATATTTGCAATGCTTCCTGTCGAGATGACGATTAGAAAGGTTCACGACCAATTTCTGATATGCAGAGCAAGTTTAGAGCCAGTTTATAGTGTTGATCTAACATCCTCCTGGATTCGGCTATTCCTAAATTGTTCTTGAAGTGCATTAATTCTCAAACTGCTTCGAACACAGAGCAGTACTAATGATATTGACTAATGAGCTTGAATTGTCCCGTAGCCTTGAGCTCCTGGGCAGGCTGCAGATTGTTGAAACTGTAATGACTTAGACTGCGATACTCCTGATTGCTCTTGGTCCTTGGGTAAATTGATTACATTAGCTGTTGGATGCGGTGTTAGTTTGGGCATCAGGAGGGGATTCTTCTATTGATTTGTCTTTGGCCGGCTGTCAATCAGTGTTGGTAATCAAAGCAAGGGAGCCTCAGATCCACAATTTGACCTAAACTCACATCCACATTTTGTGTTTGGTTTTAATATGAATTCACGTATCCAAATTAAATCAGAACGGTTTTTGGACTGACATTTCAGCTCTTAACCCTCTCTTGTATCTATCAAATGTACAACTTTGATAGATACTTATGATCCCTTTTTTTTAGTGTAGAAATTGTGGCATCTGATGATTGTTCATAATGCCAAATCTGGAAATAAATATTCAAAAAAGAAAGAAACTATAATCCTGAGCAAACATATTCGTGTTAGACCAGAATTAAACTATTAGTTAAACAGAATTAAACAGGCTCTGCGGCCAAAGTAGGAAGAAATGCTGACAAAAAATGTTATTATGACCATTTCAATGCATAACTTTATTGGTTTATCAATCCCCAAGGTAACTGTGACAAATGAACTCTGTTTATTATATATTCACATGCTACACATGCATATATTACTAATTCATGTCGGAACAATAATATATGCGGTGTAAATATGAAAGAGGATGGCACTGTCCTAAAGGCAACAGCTCTGGGGACGCTTTGTCTTTCTTTGAATCAGATATCAAAAACTTTTTTTTTTTCTGCGGGGATGGAAGGACTTCTGTCGGTAAACCTGGCAAATCTTTACATCATACGTAGCCATGGCAACGGGAGAAACTGTTAACCTGTTGGAGCAGCGATCTTTTCAAAGCCTGAGAAAATGACTATATAAAAAAAAAAAAAGGCCTCAGGTTAGAATAAGTTCAAGAGCAGGCGTAAGGACAGCTTAGCACAAACAAAACAGAGGAAAAATATTGAATTCAAGCCATTTCTTCACTTCATCATTATGGGAAGTGTGAGGTCACTGCCAGCAAAAATACACAAGCTTGGACCCTTGATGTGGCAGGAATATCGGAGAGGGTTTTTTGACAGTTCTCTGCTTTTTAAGATCGTATAGGCCTTCAGAGACTGCAGAGGGAGATGAGAAGGAGGGAGATTTCAGAGTTTTTATAACAACAAAACATGTAATTCAAGAGGTTTCTTTGAAAACGAGCATCTCTGCTCCACATGTGGCCGTTTCATTTCAGGCATGTCCCCGTTAATTTCCTCTGTCCGGATCTAAAATGCTCACTATAAAAAGGTTTTAGATTACTTCAGTGGTACTTGAATTCATACTGGAATATTGCTCATATGAATATGAAAAAACTAATGTTGCGACACATGGTATTAAGCTTGATATTCTTTCTCTGCTGTAATCTTTTTAGCAGAATTCAGTCTTATTTTCCAATCCTCCATAACAGTTTGAGGTATCTGTAGTACATGAGCCGTTTCTTTTTCCGGCCCTTATGAAAACAGTCTGAAATATGGAAGATACAAAAGGTTTGTGTTTTTTGTCAATGTGACAATGCTCCATGGTTTAACACTTCGGTGGCTGGAAACTCAGAGTGAAACCTGAAGTGACCCTCCAAAGCCTCTAATCCTAAAACTTACTAAAGGCACCAGGACTCCAGTTATTACACACTGCTGTGAAATCCTCTCCCTGGTTCTAACAGTTGGTGACACAGTATTGTGTGACTGATGGGCGCACCTGTACCTGGGCACCCAGGGCACACTTCCTGAGGGTTCCCTGAGAAATTGCAAAACTTGAAACTTCAAGAGAGAAAGTTAATATAGCCCCTAAAAGGTGCAACTTTATGACCTCCGTGTATTTCCATAAGTGTTCATCCTGTGAGAGTTTTTGACTGTTTTATTCATCAAAGGCTAATGAAAACGGATCTTTTTTACATGAGGACCAACTTTAGATTATAGCTGGAAAAATAATCTGTTGTGCCCTTAAACATCAGTCACGTCTTCCTCCATTTCTCTCTCTTCAGATTTGAATTGTTTCCATTTTATCTGAGGAACATTAAGCCCTTCTGTTGCCAAAAAACTCTTTAAAATTCAAATTTATGTTTTAATTCAGAGCCAGTTTATCCAAGTGTTTGTTTCGAATTGATATATCAAACTAATTTTACAACCAACAGTCTTTACAAATTCTTGCCATATGAGGTAATTCATGATAATGACAAACTCCAGAATGTCAGTTTTTACATAATTGCTATTTATCATCTCCAGTTTTATCATTCGCTGTTATTTAGGAATAAGCCATTTATAAATATGCTAAATGAAGTTAATTAGCGTCTGATCATTATTGTTAATCTTGGCTTTCTAAAAGTTCAATCACAGAAATCCGGATGAGAAAAATGCACATCGCGGTTATGTGTGATCAAATGCAAAAATGTCCTCACATTTGTAACAAATGTCAAACGGCACCAGAGAAGAATGAATCAACACAGCTGCAGCAATCACTCAGGACACCGATATAACACACATTTGACATTTGGGCATCATCAGTCACAGATGTGACCTCCATAGGAAACACCTCCCCTCTGGATTCATCATACATTATTATTTTAAACACAGGTCTGCGTTATTTATGGGAATTTGGTGGATATTCTCAGGTGGCCGACTATGAAATACATCTCAAAATGTGGATTGAAATGCTGCTAATGTGTTGCATTTGCAGGAACATGCAACAAAACAGCTCAAACCAGTAGGATTCAAACCGTTGTTTTAGAATTGATACACTTTCAAAGACTGATAATCATCTCCAATAGTCTCTATAGTAATAAGTATGCAACCTGTGCTTGACAATTGTCAATTTAGCACAGCACAAAGTATCAATGCAGACTTAAATTGCCATATAGATATTTCAGAATCTCATTGATTTGTGTTGTCTCTCTCTGTGCCACAATGAAGTGTGAAAATGACATGAAGTCGTTTGTAGCTGTTCTCATGATCTCCTTGATGAGTTCCCTTAAGAATAAATTTGCTGTAAATTGACCATGCCTAGAAATAATCCCTACAAAGTGCTGCTACGCAACCATGACATGCTGCTTTATCACTCTGATTCTTTATAAGTCAAACCAACAGTCTATAAACTTCAATTAACCATCTGCACACTTAACTTTTTGTCATTGTTACTGTTTTACTAACTCTTGAGTGTGCAGATAAATCCTGTGACAGCTCATCTCACCCACCGTCATTCTGATCTAAGCATTCATATATTTGCTCTGCACATCCTTTACGTGCTCCTTGAATAGCTTTTTGTTCAAATAGAAACCTCCTTTTTGCTAAACTCTTCGTTTTCCATTGTACTGTGCGGCCTCCCGTCATCATGAGGTGCGGAGTCATTCATCTCCTCCCTCTTTTCCCAGAATGTGTGCAGCACTCTGTGGTGCAGTGTGGGAACAACGTGCCACTCAAAGCTGGATGGAGCCGTGGATGGAACCAGTTGTGGAGAAGACAAGGTGTATATTATATCTTATATCCCATCGCCATTCCACAGTTCATCCCACAGGGAGGAACTCTGTCTCTAGGGACCCCTTTACTACATACAAATATAAAAGCATATAGCAAATTCTATCTATCTATCTATCTATCTATCTATCTATCTATCTATCTATCTATCTATCTATCTATCTATCTA